TTCCCCAAATGACGCCCTAAATAAAGCGACGTTTACACGATACAACCAATTCATCCAACCGTCGGAGGCAACATATTGGACGACTGTTTACACGATACAAGGTTCTATGTGTTATATGGCAACAATTGTTCCTTCTTAGTAACTAAATAAAATAGCAGCAATAGACGTAAAGGCGACACTTCTCGTCTCCTTCTTCGTGTAGTTTTAATGCCACGGGTTCCAAAACGTTCATGCTCCTTTTTTTAAACATTCTTCTTTAAACGACATCATTTTATGATGCAGCAGGCGCACGTGCCTTTGGTATCATCTTGCCATACAACGATTGTATCGTGTAATCACACTTACGATATGTTGGATTCGACGGTTGTATGAATTGATTGTATCGTGTAAACGCCTCTTTAAAGCTTGTGTGAGACATTAAATAATGGTTGGCCTTACCTGTATAGGTGTTGAGAATCTTAATACTAAATTCTTAGTAAACATACCTTTATACCATTTATAATGGCTGGCGTTACCTGTATAGGTCGTGAGAGTCTGAATCCCCCATTCTTAGTAAACATACCTTTATACCGTTTATAATGACTGGCCTTACCTGTATAGGTGGTGTGAATCTGAATACTCCATTGTTAGTAAACATACCTTTATACCGTTTATAATGGCTGGCCTTACCTGTATAGTCTGGTGATAGTCTGAATACTCAATTTTCAGTAAACAGACCTTTATACTGTTATAGGCGATACAATTAATTAATATCGTGCCACAAAATAAGGATAAAAGTGATATGTATTTTTTTATAAGTGGCGAGTCTTCTAAATAACATAACAGATTTTAAATACGAATATATCACAAACAATTCGATGGCGTCAACAGTGGCCAGTTTTATAATAGATATATAACAACTTTTAAATGAATATACCACGTCCAGTTTGATGGCGTCAAGGTCATCATAACGGCCGCACTTTAACCCGGCCCCAAGTTCACAAAGCATTCTCAGGCTTAAGTTTAGAATTTACTCAACTTTCAATCACTGTTTATGAGAAATATCTTCGATCCAGAAGCACAAAAATTTGCACATAGTTTCTTATTGGTGTATTTGATACATTAAAACAACAAAAGTTTTATAAAGGGCTATATTTTAGTTAAAATAAGGTAAACAATTTTTAGTAAATTTTTAACTTAAGTCTGAGAATGCTTTGTGAACTCGGGGCCTTAGTTCGTGAAGAAGTTATCATTGCTATAGATCTATATTATGATTACTATAACCCACGACTTGTGCAGTAGAACACGTGGTCATTAATCTGATATAACAGTTTTTACATCCAATTAAAAAACCCATAAGTTTCAAAGAGTGAGAGAGATTGGGTTTAACGTCCACTCGACGCAAACGTAGGCCATTTCAGAGAGAGAGAGAGAGAGAGAAAAAGAGAGAGAGGTTGTCGGGTTTAACGTTCACTCGACGCAAACGTAGGTCATTTCAGAGGGAGAGAGAGAGAGAGAGTGGGGGGGGGGGGTATTTCAATAACACGCTTGGGGCCTATAGTAGTGGGACCTCCGAGGGCCTGGAGAAAACCAAAGCGGTTGGCCAGACAACCATACGTCTTGTCACATACAAACGGGAAATGGAAATAGTCCAGCGAACTATGACTGAACCTGGAAATTGAATATTACGTTTTTTATGATTGATTTTAGTAGCCTAGGGTGTCCTCTTTCAGAATATGTCGGGTGAACCTCGGTCACCCTTGGGTGTTTTGAGAAATTCAAAATGGCGTCCAAAACGGCCGCCGTTTCAAATAACTCCCTATAACTCCTATAGTATTTAGTCTAGGGTGTCTAACCGTATGTTGTTGGGTCCAAGGAATACACTGAAATTGTTCAATATGTTGTGGGTGGATTAGATGATAGTAAAATGAAACATGCCAGACAATATGGCCCTTTAACTCGTTAGCGTCGGTTGGGGGCGATTATATCACCGAACCAAACTATATCTAGAGACATATTTCTGGACACGGGGGCATATGGGTGATACGATAACACCACTAACATGCCTATCAGGGACCCCGGGGCACATGAGACGATCTGAAAGGGGGGGGGGGGCACGCTGTTTTTTTAACAGTTTTAACTAGCAAATGCTACCCCCAAAACACGAAAATATCCATGATCAAAATTAGGTAATATTAAGTTCAATCCTTCAGTCGTGTTTCCGGCTGCAGACTGGGGAGCCACAGGCGGGAAATACTGTACATTTTAAGCCACCCCTGCTTCAGCTACAAAGGAAGCCTACTACATGGGGTGTCACTCTCGTATCCACATCTGATGAGCAACACGACAGGCGCCGGAGTATGTTGGTCGGTTGTAATGTTCTCAGTTTAATATCCTTAGCCCAGCAGCACAGTTCAGGAGAACGTTCCAACGGATTATGGCCTTCCAGTGAACACCACACAATAGCTTGGTGATGACACCCTTTTACGTTCCTTGCAAATGCATCATTCGCTGGAGCAAGACTACACGGTTTGGATACATTAACGTTTTGGATACATTAACGTTTTGGATACCTATAACCTCTGGTGTGTTTCGGGCATCGATTTGCAAGAGCTCTGTACATAACAAGCTGGCAAGAACTGCGTTACAATGAAATCACCAATCAAAGAACAACCGTTGACATACGAAGAAACACATGTCAATAAAGATTGAAATCCTGCCAGCTCATGCTCTTACTGGATATGAACAGCTTTGGAAGTGGTGAGAGCTGGATTGTATTTATTCTCTCTCACCCGTCCGATTAGTAGACGTTCCAATAGAATCGGTGCTTAAACAGGCTACTGTATTTATGTCAGCTTGCTATGGACAAAGTTCTAGCTAATCGACGTCTGAAACCCGGTGGAGGGCGGGAACACCCAAAACTGGCATTGTATTGTCATCATCCTCTCCGCCGGAACTTGATCAGGAACTGTATTGCTAGGTGAAGGATACTAAGGTGAGAACATTACAACAGGCCAACTTGCTCCAGAAATTGTAATGCACGTTTCATTTATTAAAACAGTTTTGTGACATTGGGAATGATTATCTGACTGACACAAATTTATTTTATTCCTTCGAGAACTGTTGTTTTTATAATAATCAATGATTGGAGAACCTGTCCTGACTATATATACTACTCAAAATAATACACCTCATTAAAATTTAACTTGAATGGTTGCTCTGTTTCAAAAGTTTGCATGATCCTGCAACACATCTGTACATCCCAAGGCTTGACGAGAATGTATAACGCCATGTTGTCGCACTCACTGATTCACAATATAGGATTGTTTTGTTAATCTATTTAAAGTACGCGTTTTCGTCGGCGAAAATGTCGGTCTAATGCAAATGTAATGGGACCGTTTCTATGGAAACAGGCTTAATACATGGGTATTCCTATCCTGAGTTGGGGTGGGGGGGGGTGAATGGCCGAATGGTTATGCGCGCACTGTATCATAAGGCCTGTCATTGAGTCAACTGGCTAGGTTTTGAATCTCCGGTTGTGCGTGACAAGGAGTAGGGTCGCCTGTCCAACCTCGTGGGTTTTCTCCGGGTCCCCTGGTTTCCTCCCACTGCTAAAGACCCCTACGCGCAAGCAAATTATTGAAATAAAATTAAAACCTCTCTCTTAGCCTCTATCTTTAAACTATTTAAGTTTTGACACTCTATTTTGTCTTTGTGTTTTGTTTTGTTTTTATTCAAACAATATAGTTTTCAGTAGATACCTGACACTGTCGTTATGAATCTGATCAGCGTTTTCTTTACTAAACAATTTGTATCCATGGTGGTGCGTGTCACTCCAATGGTTGTGCGTGTCAATCCAATGGTTGTACGTGTTAATCCACGGATCTTTGCTATCGTCAAATTCTATGTACATGTATTTCTACTATTGACCCACATGGTTTTCTCACCACCGTAAACATATCGAGCAATTCGTCTCAACACTTGATTGACCCTACAAATAGTTAATCCCACTACTTGAACACTAAGTGTAATTCCGTATAGAACGCCGACGATCACACCGTAAACGTCTAACCTGGAAGTCTGTTCGCCAAAACCTTTATATATAAACGACAACAGAATTAACCATAGAGCGTTAACGGTTAACAAGCCGGCAAGATTCATGTTCCTTAAAAACCGTAAACGATCCGACAATTCAACAGCCTCCAATCCCTTGTTAATGTCTTTTCCGATGAGCCGTCGCTTTAAATCTTCCCAGAACACATTTTCCATTCGGCCCTCTTCGCTGCATTCAGTTATATCACGAGCGAGGAATTTGATAACCTCGGAAATCTCAGCATAAGACCCTAAAAGAAATTGAATGAAATGGGGTTTACTGCCCTAATGATTATATAACCGGGAAAAACAATTGCAAGAATATATATTTGACCGTAAGAAAACAGGAAGAGTTAATCCAGTTTTGGGAACCGAATCATGATTCTGAAAAAAAATTCAAGATGCTGTCAAAATAGGTATGGAGTCAGAAACAAAATACAAAAAACAATTCTTTGTTTATATGAATACTGTATATATATAAACCATTAATAAATTTACCTGTGTCTCGCGTCTTCACTTTCTTATTTTTACGCTTTCGCTTTAAACCTCGAAAACAGGAAATCTTAGGTATCTTCGCCTTTGTCTATAATAGAAATATTATTCAAAATACGGTTACACTTTGACAACATAAAATAAAATTTGGGGCTAAGGATACGTATCATTATATCTACTTAAATAGGCGATTATTTAGGGCGTTAATTGTTTTTATTTGATTATTTCCGTAGTTTTGTAATCGGAATTCAGTTTTAACCTAGTAATCGGGTGTTGTCTAGCCCGAGTGCACCAGTGAAGTCAGAATAGATAAACCGTACTCAAAAGAGTCCGACAAGGGATTGCGCGGTTTTGTCCCAGTAGAATCGGGCTAGAGATAGTATGGACACGGTTTATCAGTCGTAAGAAAAAAAAAACTTGCCTTCTCCCTCGTTCCCCAGCTCTGGTCAATGATATTGGCAACACTATAGATTGGTAGAAGCACGTGCGTAGCCGGAAATATGAACACGTAGGCTAATGCATAAACTATCAAATAACTCTCAATTGGATGGAGAAGGGCTGAATAAATTAAACTTCCAACGATCAATAAAATGATATAATATTCGTGCAATTGGAAATGACCAACAGAAACATCTGAAAGAACACAAAAAAAAATAATAATAAAAAATAAACGACTCATTGATTTAACTGTGAAATTAATAATATCTTTAAAAGATATTTTGTGAAAGCAATATATAATAATAGACATATTTATGGATAACATTTACTAGCTTTATTGACTGCATCGTGTTAATAAGATTACTCATACCGTTATCAACTTAGCTGTCTGTTATGTTACGACATTAATAGTTTTATGTTAATTACAATGGTTCAAATCTGATAACCGATAGAAAAATTACTTAAAAGTCATTTGCAATCTTTTAGAATCACGAAGCGCTGTTGTGTGGTTCCTCCTATTGTGTCATATATATTACACCAACCAAAAGAAGAAATTACTTCAGACGAAGTCGGTATTAAGTACGCATTCAGGCCCGTATATTTTTCCCTAGCCCATTGGTCTTCCGGGAGTGAGTTGAATTTTTAAAAAACAAAATGTCGTAAAAATAGGAAAAAACTCTCACCCAGTTCCATAAAAGGGGCTAAAAGAGAGGATATTCTGAGCGAGCAATAATTAAACATTCCCGAATGTCTAAGACAGCTGTACGCAACTGACCTCTTGTTTAAATTACACTAAGGAAGCGGTTGTATATAAGTTGAAAGCTTGTTATCCTATCCTTTATTTATCATATAAATTCGGTAAATTTAATGAATTAAATATTGTTTAAATCAAATTACATCAAGTATACACTCACTTTCTAACACTAAGCCCAATAATTGTACCTCGCTTTCTATCCCCGAGCTTATGCCTAGGTCCCACTGGGGAAAAATAAAATCATCGACGATATGTAAATAAACGATTATATTCAAGTACGTCACCCAGGGCTGCCGACAACCAGTATCGCAGCGCAATTTGCGATACATATTTTGTCCGTTGCTAATCAAAAATTAAAATCTAACGTTTTTGATTCGCAGTAACTGCGAATCATTAACATGCCTGTCATTTTGGATATTGACACAAAGATTTATCCACATTTCTCAACGCTTTCAACGTATATAAAATATCAAATAAATTTTATAAACAAAACGGAATTCTCCGTGTGACATTTTCTTCTCGAACTACCCAGACTCAATTCATTATACTATATAACAATGCTATATAATACAGGGACATAACTCTATGAATCGGGACTATTAAACCGGAAATAGGGAATCAAGTAGTACCACTCACGTTGCGAGACATGTCAATTTCGAGTAATTATATCAGTATTCAATTTGAAAAAAATTAAATTCAATGTATCCCCCACGTATTGTAAATAAAATATAAAAAATAAATATGTGTAAACGTATTGTAAAATGAGAAATCAAAGTAAGAATTCCCGTAAACTATTATTGTTTATATCGCGTGCGTCTAGTTAATCGAGATTATTCGTAAAATACCGCGTGCTTACGATTGAACAAAATAATAACACACGATAAAAAGCAGACGAAATTGTTTTCTAACGAAGAAATAAGAAGTCACTGCCCAGACATAAGGCCTAACCAAAAGTCTACACTCATTCGGAAATGTTCACAGCTACCTGTAGAAGTGCTAAAATTCTAAAAAAAATCTTAAAAATGAAATCTAATCATTTGTTATCAATTAAAATTAAAATAATCTTGTTATTTAGGTGTTTTATGTTGAAACTGAAAAACTGCTAATCAATTTTTAAATTTGCTAATCAAATTTGGCAAAATTGGACTTTTTGATTAGCAGTGCTGCTAATCATCTGTGAAAAATTACCGACAGCCCTGACGTCACCTCGTTAATAGGGGTAAACACTCAGTCGCGGCGTTTAACCAATACTGGTTATACTTATCGACAAGATCGCGTTTTTTGAAATGCGGACCGTCTCGCCTATGTTTTAAATCTAATTCATAACCGAATTAGTTTCCAATAACGGTTGGGGGCCACGGTGGCTAGTTGGTTAAGACACTGGCTCGCTAGCCTGGAGGTCGGGTGTTCGATCCCTGCATTGGCCGAGAAAGTTCATCTGGATTTTCCGACGTGGTTTCCCCTTGTCAGTGGTGCAGAACGGAGGGCCTGACAAGGACAGCTGTCTAGTCCTTCGGATGAGACGAAAAACCGTGTATACATTAGAATGCACGTAAAAGATCCCTTGGCAGTTGGAATTCGATATAAGAGTAGGCGATAGTGCCGCTGCCCGGGCAAAATTTCCCTCATAGCACACTGTATGGCGTATGCCCGTCTTCATTAGCCCAGTATAGGAGCAGAACAGTAGGACGTTAAACTCCATTTCATTTCATTTCATTTCCAATAACGGTAACTCTGTCTACGAGGTGCGCAGTCATCAGGAATGTATTTATTTATAAACCTGTTAATATAATCAGATTCTCAAAAATTATTTTAGGAAAATAACCTGTTCAACTACTGACGGTGACAATTACGCTTCCTACTTGGATCTGCATCTCGATTGCCATAAACTTAGTGTTAAATTGTACGATAAACGTGATGACTTTGACTTTCCGATTGTTAATTTTCCATTTATTAGTAGTAACATTCCAATATCACCAGCTTATGGAGTGTTTGTGTCTCAACTAATTCGTTACGCGAGAGATTGTTCATTTTATTCTGATTCTTTAAGTAGATCGAGGCATTTGTCATCTAAGCTTCAACTATAGGGATACTTGCGAACTAAACTTATTAAAACCTTTAAAAAGTTTTATGGGCGTCATATTGACTTGATTGGTAAATATAACATGTCTCTGTCGGCTATTATTCTAGGGTAAGCTTACTCTTCCGGACACCTGTTACCACTGTTTATCGTGTATTTTGTACACGGTGAACAGTCCATATGCTGATTACACTATTTTGCCTTATTACACTATTTTGCCTATACCGTGTTTTTAGGAATTCGAATTTTGCCTAATGGTTTGGATTGTTCGTACTTCGTTTTATTTTATTGATAGTCTTCGGCAACATTGATTATTTGTTTGTTTCTAAGATGAGATATTTTAAAACATTGTAAAAGTTGCTTATTTCTACCACTGTAATACAAAAACTATGTAGACGACAATCTATACCTCACACTATTGTACCTCCCACAGTAAATTTGTCTTAAACATACATTATGCAAGAGCTAAATCTGATTATTGCAAGTCTTAATTTAGGCTTCAGATGTTATAGAAATTATAAATTAGATCTTTATTTAAACAACAAGCCCAAAATCAACTCTGTAGACCCACGGATGGCTCGGCTACAGCTTGGATTTAAATAGGATTTCACTGATTGATTAAATCAAAAATGGCGCCCCATGCGGAGATTATTAACCGTTACGTTGACGTCATCAGTTAGATCGAGGCTAAATGATAGAGTGTACGAAGCGAGGCCGCTGTTAAGCGATGCCTCATGTCAGTCAATTTGATTGAAAGTTCGATATATACGGCCTTGATATAATGTTCAGTTGTGGTTAAAATGAGAGTTTGGATGTTGGTATTATACGCTCTTTTGTCACTTGCGTTTACAGAAAAATTGATAAACATCGCAGCTAACATCACCCCAGTTGAATTGCAGCCCCATTGGATCACTGTAGTGTTTCCTATTTGTCTGCTTCGGGAGTCACGTAGTCACGTTACAGTACAAGAGTACACGCAGGCTAACAAGAAGTCGGCTATAATTATGCCTCATTGATTTGGTCCATTCCTTTCAAACTTTCGCTTCTTATCTATATAATAAAAGTCTTATTTTTAATTTGTAGTAAAAATAAATGTGATACGAATTGAACTGCAATCCCGTCTCAAGCCATTGAAAACGTAACTTGATAATCGATATTATGTAGGTGGAGTTAACGCCTGTCAATAAAACGATCGGCCAAGGTGAAGATATATTTGACTACCATTTCTAGTCAAATATTACAAGGATGGTAACTTTGTTCAGAATAAAGTAATTTGACTGAAATTTTCAATATATTCTTCTTTCATCGTCTACTTTTGAACTGTTATAGCAAGAATGGCCAACTCTCTATAAAAATCTCCCATAATGTATCTTTAAGGAAAGGGAATATTTGAAATCCCATTTGGGATTAAAATATAATCAAAAGAATTTTATTCTTTAATCATAGTAGCCTACGGCAATCTATACACACATTGTCCCAGAATTGTCGTCATTTCTGTATTTCTGATCTACGTTTCGGCTATTGCGATTAATAACTATATATTACAAGAATAACTTATAGAGTTATGACCCTTGATTATGTCATATGGCTCCCGATGTATTTGTCGAAAAAATGGAGTAGTTCCATGAAAAATGGCACTTATTAGGAATCGGGGATGGTCTGGTGAACAGTTACTGATGCTTCGGCTATGGTCATAAAGCTTCTGGGGATGTCCCCCGAACAATTGTCGTGAATCATCGGGGATGGCTCCCAATAATCGGGACAGTTTCGGAGTACCTTCGCCGATAATCAACATCAGCGGGTGAATATTCTTACTGGGAGATTCCAGTCTCTTGCGTGGTAGCATATCGGCCCATCAATTACCATCGGTAGTACATCCCCAAGCCAAAAAATGACCAATGTGACCTAGGCATTAAATTCGAATAATGTGTTCGTTCGTCTTACGTATTTCTATATGTTCAAAGAAATTAAATGTAAACCCTGCTATCAACTCACCGTGCACCATATCAACCACTATCCAATATGACCCAGTAGCAGCTGCCGATGCAAATATACAGCCCATCAACGCACCCACAACAGTCGTCAGCTTAGTCTGTGTGCTACTGCTAGCCTGCGTACAGATTATGGCATAGATGAAAACCATGATAGTCAGCGGAATTGCTGTAGCGATGTAGGGAATATCGAATGAAACCTCAAGGGCACCTGCAATCATTACTATAGTTGTACCAGGGTTCACGATATTGAGGATAAACAAGTTTATTAGGTATAAGACGTATGCAGCTGTGAAGCAGTCGTTGTTCCTCATCAATGGGATCAGATTTTGGGCAACATGCAATGTATTTGCTATGTCTGAAAGAAGCCATCGACGGCGTTGTTTTAAAAACTCCTCTATGTTGTCTGGGCAGTAGGTGGTATTGTCGGCGAAAGCTGAGTTTCGCAGTCTCCACCCACGGTTCATCAACAATGTTGACATCCATCGGTCCTCACCTGAAGCAAAATAAATAGAAATCTAATAAAAGGTGCACTTGTCAAGCAATATTAGAACGGGTCTTGTGGTCTGTGCCTTTCATTCCGAGTTTTAGGTATCTTCATGTTCGTTTACACATACAAAATTTGGCAACAGGTTTTGGTGGTTATAGTGTAACAAACAGTGTCTGCTTGCTAGTTCTCTTGTTCTGCCCAATTTCACATTCTTTTGGGCGCCTTGTGATACCGCAGGACGGTAGTCCCACACGCTTTCAGGAGTCAATGAAGACAAAATTAAAACGGGAAAGATCCCTTCGTCTAGTTTCTTACCAGTATCTTTATAGTAAACTGACAATGGGGTCAGTGTTGGACTCGAGTATTCATCCATAACTTGTTTGATAGCACTGGCTCGATATAAACTAAAACATCCCGGAGCACACATCACAGAACCAATAACATTCTGAGAATTCTTAATTATCCAGAAATCTGAAATATAGAAACCACTCAGCCGAAAAGTCTACAAAACTGTTAAAGATGCATAATGTAAGTTTTAAGTAAAGAGCTGACAGCTCGCGCTATAAAAGTTTAAAAATAGATAATGAAAAGTGAATATGTTGGAAATGTCAGTCAAATAACGTTATTCTGAGCGAAGTTATCGGTATTTGAAGCTTTGACAAGATAGTCATTTTATAATTAAATCTTTAATCCATTCAATATCACGACCATCAAGAGGTCAAGAGAGTTGAATAATTGCTTAATTGATAACTTATTGAAACAACAAAATGACCTGTAATAGGTAGTATAAGGTTTGTCCGAAATGATCAGATATTCCATGCTGCAAACAAATGCTACCAGAAACTATAAATAGTTCCCCAGCCATATGAATAACTTTATTGTTTGTCTACTTACCTTTAGCATATTCAAATATTTGATGCCATACTATGGGACTTCGGTGCTTGCCATCTGGGTGAGTTCGGCCACAAGCACCACCAATCCTTTGGTCATCATTACACATCCGTAACAGTTCTAGCACGGCATCATCCTTGAAATCCATGTCTGCATCAGTTGCCAGGATATATGTATGGTCATTGTAGACTTCAGCATTCATTTGAATGGGTATATCATCGCACCCGGTTGGCGATGACCACAGATCGTTTGATCCATGTATTTTAAACTTATGTACGTCGGGATTAGAGTCATCAGTGGCAGGCCTATCATCAACTTCATCAAAGAGATAACTGATATTGATAATACCAGGATATTCATCAACTGCAGCTTCCACTTTAATAGCAGCCGAACTCGCCATCGTATCCGATCTCTCAATCACATCGTTGACGTAACAAGATTTTAGTGTAGCTACTGAATTACAATGACTTAGTGGTGGAGTTAAGTTCCGCGAAACAAACCCTTCGTCATCATCTTCGAGGTATCCAATATTTTTCAAATGAGGAGAGATGTTGGTACCACTTATTTTATCGCCTGAGTTTAGAATGTCGTTCGGAAAATCAATCTTAGTCTCCCGAAGTCCAGAGTTCGATGAGACGATGTCCCCGAACTTCCCGTTATTATTGTTGATTAGGCTTCTGTACTTCAACACGTAGTTCATATACATGCATTGACTCCAACGTTTTTTCGACTTTACTTTCTCGGGATCCTTAAAATGCATAAATAAAGGCATTCCTCCATCTAGAATATACCCCAATTGCAGTCCATAAGGTGTCTCAAAACATGAACAATCGACAAGATTCATGCTAAACCTTGTAATCAGCAGACTGACCAGCTGCTGCGCAAACTCTTTCAAATCCCTACCACTGCAACCGTTATCCATAAAAATGTTCGCCTCAATGTGTACGTCTTCAAGTTTGAGTTTCGTCGATTGGGATAAACCTTGCAAACTATGAAGCAGTCGTTCCACTTCGTAATCATCTTCGCGGTACATTGTGGTACACACATATATTGAGCTACTATTCTTAGTTTGGCCTGTAACTTTCTCGCTGGCGACTGAATTGAAGACATCAGCTTTGTAGGATAAGAGAAGTTTCTGGTCAAAAAACAGATTGTTCCACCCATAGGACAAAAATAGGGTTTCATACGGCATGAATAGATAATTCGGGTTTCGTTTAATCAACTGACAGATTTTTAGGACAAAAGGTACAGTCCACGTTAATGCCGAGATAGAAGCTACGATGATAAAAGAGGTGGAGTCCCCGAAGTCCTTAAGCTCGTCAACGTGGTACACCATTGGTGAAAGAACAGTGATGCACAAAACTATACACATGGGTGTAGCTAAGAACATGGACGCTAAAATACCCACCAAGGGTACACAATATGTAATACTAAGATACAGAAATCCTTCTGCTGCTAGTCCTGCCAATATGTTGGAAATCAGGGGAGTCATTATTGTCCAAGTGAAAGCACCTGTCCACTTGTTTTGGAATTTAATCAATATGTCTTCTGTTGCTTCCCCAGAATCTTTCATAATATATATCTTAAGAACCAGGAATATTATTATACCAATTATCTTCAGGATTCCGTAGATGACATGGATTCTTTTCACACCGTCCGTTGTCATTAGAGTTCGTGTCTGTAGCCGTGGTGACCACACGGTTGCCATGGCAGCAAGCGAGACACACACGATCAAGGCTTGTAACCAAGTGATTTGATTGAACAGACAAAGTACGAGGGCAGTACCAGCAGGAGCAACAACAGCTAAAACACCGCCAATGATGTACATCTGCCTACAAGTCGCTTGACTGCAGACGCTGATATCCTGAAACAATGGGGAAAAAACACTAATGCTAATATGGACAATTAAAACAAAAGATAACCAGGTTACATATTCATGGATAAGAATGATTTTCAGCAGAAATAAATCAATAGATGCATATGAACTTAACGTCCTACTGCTCTGCTCCGACACGGGCTAATGAAGGCAGACATACATCATACAGTGTACTATTGAGGACAATTTTGCCCAGACAGCTGCATTACGACCTACTCTAATATCGAATTCTAACTACCAAGGGCTTGCTCTTTTACGGAGCTTCGGTTTATCTTCCTATAGTAAAGACTAGAAATGGGGTTTAACGAATTAATTCCGACGGCAAAAACGCTTGTTTAATAATTTGGGGATGAATCTGCTTTTGGTTGGACTTTTTTATTGTGACTGGTCTGAAAGGATAGGAATGTTTTTCCGTCTATTACTTACATATTAAAGACGCATTATGTCAGAGCTAAATCTGCATATTGCAGGTCGTTTTGTTTTTGTTTTCTTGCTTCAAATGGTACATTATAAATTATTATTTAGACATTTATTCACATGACAATACCAATAATCAAGTCTCTAGACATCAGATGGATGTGCTATTAAGTGGGTTAGTCATCCCGCGCCATTTAATCCGTGATAAATGTTTAATATCATAGCAATGACATCTGCGACTACGCTATTCTTGTACAAACATTAAACATTAGCTCAGAATAATGTAATTTGACTAAAATTTAAAATTATTCATTTTATTTTTCATTATCTATTTTTAAACTATTACAGCGAGAATAATTTAGAACATTGTTTAAATCGTTAAAATTGGTCACAAATTGCAATCAAGAATATGACATCCTTGCGTCACGAATCTATACAAATTTTATTCTTTCCAACGTCAACTTGGTCAAGATGTTTAAAGATACTTTATGAGAGATAAGATAAAGAGCTGCATAATGTATGTTTAACAAACCCATTCTTACCTTAGTTCCACGAACAATGGCATCGGATAACAAAGACACCGACAGAATACCACCCATGACAGGAAGCAGCACGTAAACCGGAAGTGACGTGGCCACGACCGTTGTAAAAGCAACGACAGAAGCACTTTCAATAATGGCAGCAATAATTCCCTGTAGACGATGACAAATACAATAAATATTTATAATAAATAATTATTTGATATACAACTAAGTATTATGAGTAGAATATTCGGTATTATTTAATTGACTAAAATGGCCGACACAATAACAAACGATAGCTAAAGGTGCATTATGTAAGAGCTAATTTTGTTTTGGGTTTCAAATTTTATATAAATTATTATTTAGACATTTATTAACACGACAAGCCCATAATCAACTCTATAGATCATCGAATGGCATAGATGTAAATATTTTGAAATACCATCGCCATTTAATGATTTAATTTAAAAATGGAGAAGCCATTCTCGATTAACAAGTAACATTGTTACGTTAATAACAATCAATATCAAAACTTCAAACAGTGATAACATCGCTCCAGAATAAAGTAATTTGAATGGAATTTTCAATATATAAATTTTGAATTATCTGTTTTGGAACTATCAAGCAAGAACGTCCAGTTCTTTAGCTACATATTACAAAATGCATATTATATTGTTGGCTTGAAAATCGGGTCACGAAATAAAACAAAATGGGCTTTAACGTTACAATTTCATATTTTCTAAGAAAGTCAAAACATAATTATTTCTATGTCTTTTGCTCAATAGGTTGTTAACTCACTATTATACGATCTTAGGTGTCATTCTCACACTTAAAACTCATTAACACCGGAAATAGTAACACAATTACCCCCAATTACCTCTCTTGTTTTCTATTCTCCACCATGGAGTACCTATCTTCAAACGTTTGAATTAAGTTGAAAATGATATTTTTGTCAATTTCTCAACTGGCAATAGTGAATTATAGGATTAATTATTCTTTAACAAGGTAGGACTGTTTATAGATACCATCTATTTTAAGGCTTTATTTTAATACATTTTAAAAATACAACTTAAAAATATGAAATTGCAACTTTAATGTACTTTTTTTCTGTATGACGTACACCATGTAGTCTACTAGAGGGAAATCGAAACCACGCCACTTGACTTAATGACAGATCTTGTGATTTCATTTCACGCGCACACGTTAAACCACTTGACCACTCCCCCCTATCCATATTTGGTCAGAGAGCGGCGCTAAGACCACTCCCCCTATCCATATTTGGTCAGAGAGCGGCGCTAAGACGCTGTTCTTGACCTCCGTCCTGTACCGCTGACACGGGGGGGGGGGGGAAATCACGCGGGAGAATCCCGATGAACTTTCAGAGCCAACAACATAGGAACTGAGATCACGAATCCTTCAGGTTCCGAACGATATAGAAGGATATAAAACATGTCTTACCAGTAGAAGGTATTTTAATGGAGGAAGCTGACTTCCTTCGACCTTCGTTAGAAATGGAATATTCCAGTACATTTGAAACACTGACCAAATATATGGGAGTAATATTGAACTGCCAACAGCAACATAGCTGTAAAAGTTTAAAACATCAAAAAAAAAAAGGATATAATGGAAGAAACATACTGGAAAAAATATAATGGGGACCACAATATAACAAAACTCACTGTCGATAATTTGAATCTAGGGTCCGACACGAAA